GAATGAAGAGCCACCAGGATCCAAATAATATAGGCTGTCCTTCTCATGTCCCGAACCAATCATCTTCTTCGTCTTGAGGTCCTGGAAAACACAAGAATTGGGAAAAAAGGTTACGGAACAATGTAATGATTTAGTCAACTGACTAATAGAAAGCAAGTTAAAGGGAAAGTTAAGAACGTAGAGACCAGAGGGTAAAGATAAGGAATTTGTGGGATACCAGACATATGGGAGCTTGCTCCAGTGTTAATAAACCAGGATGAAGGAGAATGGGCCACACATACAATATCACCTGAATCAACCAATGTAGCAGTGGGGGCAGATGGAAGCGCGGTGCGCAATGTCTGAACCAACTTGCTGAGCTGAGCAGTGACTGCATCATGTGAACCAGAACCAAGAGTTCCAGATAGGACAGTAGTCGGCTGTGGCGGTGTAGTACCATCAATGACCTGATGTGCATAGTACGGCTTGCCATACTTAGCCCAACAGTAAGGTTCAGTATGATTAGTGCCACCACAATGATCACACTTCCTGTCACCATGGCCACCGATACGACCACCCCTCTAGAACCACCACGGCCTCCACGACCACCATGAAAACTACCACGAGAACCAGACCCACGACCTACGCTACTGGAGACTAAAGCAGAGGACTCTAAAGAAGTGACAGTGGAGCTTGTCACGGTGGAGCTCTGTCCCAAATATGAGCGCAATAATCGAGAATAAGCATTAGCAGCAATAGGCAGGGTCTCACTCACAAGATTCTGATCTTTAAGCCACGGAGGTCTGAGTCTAAACCAGATAACAAAGAAGCAAGCCATAAATTCTTCCCAATGTTGTTTCTGTTGATCCAAGTCAGTAGTGACAGGCCCATGTTGTAGTAATTGACCCCACAGAATTTTCAATATGCTGTAGTATTCAGACAATGATTTTCCAAACTGCTTAGTAGTGAAAATGTTCTCATATAACTCATAAACCTGAGAAACATTTCTCGTTTGCGAATAAGATTCTGCAATCAAGTCCCAAATCTTCTTAAAGGAGTCACAAATTCAACCGTAGTAGCAACATTGGGTTCCATGCTATGCCAGAGCCGTCCCATAACAGTTGAATCCTCACACATCCAGTCCTCATATTTTGGTTCCGTCATAGCGGGTGGATAAATATTTCAATTTGCGTTTCCTACGCAGAAATTTTTTCACAGCATGTGACCAAGCTAGGTAATTCAAACCATTCAACTTCTTCGAGGTAATAGATTTGGGCATATCATCATACTTGACCAGTGGTGGTTTTTCACCAGCCATGGCTAATCAAACACAACCAATCCAGGCCAAAACTCAAACTCAATGGAAGTCAAGGAAAAATCCCAACCAAGAAAGAGGAGAAACACACTGCCAAATGCAATTTAGTGAAGGAAAAAGACCAAACAACACTGCTGGGAACTATTCAGTGAAGAGAACAACCAAAAATAATTAAAACAACCATCTACTCCAAAAGATTAAGCTTTTAGAGAGGGTGTAACTTAAATATTTAAATCCTTCAACACGCCCCCATCACATGTGCCCTTCTTCCAACACGTGTTTCTATTTTAAATTATTAGGGTGACGGTGAGGTTTGAACTCAAGACCTTTGGCTCTGATACCAAGTTATAGTATAAAATACTAAGAAGATTTTGGTGAGAAGTAAGAGGAGAGATGAAGAGAAAGTGATTAGAGAAAAGGTTTAGGGCAGATGGGCTGATCATCATTCTGTCCCTTCACCTTGCCACATATTTATATTAGAATAGAGACAAATTCAATAATACCCTTAGCGTAAAATAACCAAAGAAAATAACAATTAACTATAAAATATAATAACTCTTAACAAATATCATAATGCAAAGTTGCTTTATTGTCTATGCACCAGCGCGAACAAGCCCTATGATACTTAGAGGACCTTTTTCTACTTGTTGTATCATGCTGGACAACAACAAGAATTTGTCGGGCATAGGCATTGTGTTGGGCATGTTTTCAATGTGTCAAAAATTTGTTTAATGGTTTCTGTAACTCTTGCCATTCCGCCGACATATGACTCCCATCAAGGCTCATCTTAGTTAGGTCTTGATATTATAATCTTATTCAAAATTTCTATTGCTATGACAAAGAGGTAGGCGGACAACGGATACCCCTGCCTGTTATGTATATGTTTGTAGGTTTTAATTTTGCAGAAAGTGGCTATTTTAGACAAAAACCCACGCTTTCTTGTTTGTTAGCCTGAACTTTGAACATTACACAAAGCAATGAATGATGATTTTGATCTCAGGTATATATATTAAAAAAAAGATTATTCCTTACTATGCACTAGTTGAAAGAAGAAAATTGACTTTACATTAGTTTATTCTGTAGAGCTCCTCTATATCCATGTCATACCTTGTTGGATGCCAAAACAGATCCATTATTTAGGCATTGTGTTAGACGTTCCCTTTGTTTTTAAACTAATTTCCAAATCTTAGGATATGTCAAAATGTGGGCTACATGGGTGTGTCACATTAGAACACAGTTCCCATAGTATAAAAAAATAGTAAACCTTGTAATAGGACATCTTTATGTAGAAATAATTTTAAAGAACATATTTCAAAAAGATGAATAGAATGAGGATCAGCTACATGAGGAATATGCATGTACAAAATTACAAATCTATGTTCTTCTTAATGATACATTCATGTGAGAGAAAATATAAACTCTCATCTCCTTTTGTTGTCATGTTATCTTTAAAATAGTGGGGCTTAGTTCATACCACACGCATTGATTGAACAGTCATTTCCATAGGTAAAACAACATCACGACCATGAGTTAGGCGGAAAGGGGTAGTACCAGTGCTTGTTCTCTTGGAAGTCCGAAATGCCCCCACTGCCATGCTCCACCCCACTTTTCCCATTTTGTCTCACTAAAAAGACTACTGTTTCGTGCTTTCCAAAGAAACCACAAGATGTAGGCAATTAAACCTTTGGGTATTACCTATAGGTGACTGATATTCTTTTTGCATCCTTCTTCTAATTTCTTTCCCCTCAAAGAAGTAAAGAAATTTTGCTTCTCTTTCCTTGTAAGTGTTCCAGTTCCACGGAAGCAGCCTCTCTGCATGCGGAGGTAAATTTGTGTACTTCTGACCCTCCCCTTTCCCAACCTTTGGTAGTTTATTTATTTATTATTATTATTATGGGTACACAGTGGCTACTCTTAGACTTGAACCCACGCCCACGCCCTTATGCTTGGTTGCCAGAGCTAAACAAACAACATGCAATGGACCTTGATAAGTACTTCCATAGATGTGTTAAACTGTATCCTTAGAGGATCTTGCTTCTATGTACGTCACAATCATTTGACGAATACTCAGTTTCCATTATGAGGGTTTTTTTTTTTTTTTTTGATAAGTAAGATTTCATTAAACGCGCTCAAGAGGGTAGCGCTCCCAAAGGAATACAAAGAAGCCTAAAACGGCACTGTAAATTCAAGCTATCCACAAAATCCAAAAGATTGCCCAAAGATTTACAATTTGCCCCATTGACACAACCACCACCCCCCCAAAAAAAAAAAAAAAAAAAAAAAAATAAAGTAGAAAGGATATTGTATTTGGTAGATCAAATAGGGGACTCCTCTCCATCAAAGGATCTCCTATTTCTCTCATGCCACAGACCCCACCATAAACAAAGGGGTGTTGCTCTCCATGCATCTCTGGCTCGGCTCTCCACTATACACCCTCTCTAAGCCTCTATATATCAACTGTGGACTCATTGTGGCTTGATGTGGAAAATAAGACTTAATACTTGGGTATAGTTCCTCATTGTGAATCTAGGTTTGTAGCTAGGTTATGAATTTTAAATGCGGTTTCAAGATCACTCAGTAGTCATGATTTGATTGAAATAAGGACTGCAATTTTGTTTACTTATTACTTGTTGGAATTATATTTACAAAGGTCGACTCTGAAATGGATACAATTTATAACTTACGAGTTTTTTTTTTTTTTTTTTTTAATTATAAGATTGGGGATAAATTACTTTGATAAAATAGTCTTTGTATATCTTTTACTGTAGTATACGATTGTAGTTTGATGAATTTAAAAAATAGGCCTTATCGACCCTCAGATCTTCCTTATGGTAGTGCAAATGCAAACTAACATCTAAAATCAATAGCTCCTTGTGGTTGAAAACTATAATTATGATAAGGCAGATAAGGGGTTTCTTCAAATTAATTGTTAGTGAGATGGGGAAATACCTCCATTTAAAATTTCATAATAAATTACTTTACTGGAGCAGGTGCTCCTGCCACTTTTTCTCTCTGCCTGAGCTGTAGAAGATTTTGTTGACAATCATCTATGCTAAAAGCTTAAAGCTTTTAGAGAGGGCGTAACTTAAATATTTAAATCCTTCACAACCGAATTTACCACAAGCCTGCTCCACCCATTGGTTGTCTTTTCTGCTGACTTTGATAGCTTCAACCGGTTGTCTTGCATTTCACTTTAATTATTATTTTTAATTAAGACGTAACTCTTTGCTTAATAGAATGATTCTTAGTAAAAGTGTAATTCCAACATATCTTCCTAGTGTTAATATTGAAACAAGAAATGGTAAGATTTTTAGTTTCTGACATTCAATATGAACAGATTTGAAAGTTTAAGGGTGAACTAAAGCATTTCCATTGATGAAGGAATTTATGATTTGACATAAATTATTACTCTATGATTAGGGTAAATAAATCATTTTTTATTCTAAATGGAGGTTTTATGATGTTGTGTTCTCTCATTATTGTATGCTTGTTGCTCAAGAAGCAACATCCTTGTTGGGTTCCATCTTCTTAAAAATTGAGAATGAGATATTAAAGCTTTCTTCTTGTCATTTATTGTTTATATGTGAATGAATTTCACTTTAATGAAAATTTGCATGGATACGGTTAAAATGGTAATATCTGTTTTACATCATGTTATATTATTTTTTTCATATATAGTGATTCTTATGCGGAGAGTTCATTTCAGGTTCGTGCATCATCTGTGATTAGTTTGCTGCAGTCTGACATGAAAACTGCCTTAAAGACTGCATTTGGCAATTTGGATGGTCCATTGTCTGTCATGGAGTGGTGCAGAGGCCGAAATCAATCAGGTGACGCAGGAAGCGAGGTTGACGGATTTTCTGCTGAATCTGCTGTAGGTGAATGTAGAGATTCTTCAAGTACAGCAAGTCTATCTGTTGGAGAACCAATAAGCCCATCTCATTCCGCTGGTGGATCATCTTGCCTGAAAGGTATGGCTTTGTTTTTGTATGTAATTGAATTACAATTTTGGATATTGAGTGTACCAACAGTTGGACCATTGGCGCTTAGTGTCTAGTACCACGGATGGAGCTAGGGTGGATGAGATAAGCCAAAGGAGATCAAATCAAGAAATCTGTATGTCAGAGTCAGAGCAGCAATTAAGCACCCGGCTGAGGCCAACATTGTTTGTACTTCCACTACCTGCTATACTTGTGGGGTATGTATCCTGATTGCAAGATTTTCACTTTGATTATTGAAAAAATAAACATACTAGTTGTTGTTTTGCATATAGTTTAATTGCCAATCATGAGCGATAAGTCGTGTAAGAAAATAGATATATCGGTGGTGAAGTAGTGTCATTGTAAATTCCTGTATCTGGGAACAAGTAAAAGAATTTCTGTAAGCTCTGATGGATATGTAGAAAATTCGTGAAAATTCACCAAGACTTTTCCCCTCCCCTGATAAGGTAAGAGAAGAAATACAGGTGAAATGAGTGAAGACTTGAAATGAGTATTAATCACTCATTCACATCTCTAGTATTTATATACAAAAAGAGCACATGTTAATATTACAAGAAAAGAAACTAAATAAAGTCACTGCAAATTTTATGCCTAGACATGTGCGTAAATAAACTCAAATTCCATGATTCTAGTCTATCTTATCTCGGCTAATATGGCAAGTCACATCACATGATCCTAGGCTATCATATCTTGGGCTAACAGTAAGTAAAAAAATGCCAAGAATTGATTAAAGCAATTTAATTCTCACAATAGTGGAAGAGAATCTGTTTTGCAACCAGTGCATAATGTTTAGATGGCAAAAGTGGTTGCTAATTTGCATTCGAATACATCCACAAAAAAAAGTAAATTGAACGTGAGTTTAATATATCGAAAAATAGTTTTGTTACATCTTCAATAGGATAGATGAAATCTCCTCCTTTATTTTTAAATCTAAATGCAATTTTCTTCTTTTGTAGTGAGTTGATTCTTGCTATAATTCATATTTGCAATAGGCACACCCATAGACAATTATAATGAGAAATTATTATTATTATTATTTATTTATTTTTTTGTGTCAGTTTCTCCAATTCTATGATTCTATAAATTTAAAGAAAAATTATTAAAACAAGAAAGAAACAGCAAAGATTGAAGGAGAAATTTTATTTCATGCCCAAGTAATGTTGTTGTTTTTGAACTTAACATGGGTTAGTGAAGTAGTCAAAAGATAATATATATTTTTTTTAATGCATATGTTAGTTCTTAATGTACTGTCAATTATTGGCACTCCATAAGAAATTTCAAACAATGGTTAATATAATATTGCTCATGGATGGTTGGCTAGATTACAAGAAAAAATGTCAGTCAAGTATTAGTTTATTTTTGGTGTGTCGATATAAATTTCAATAGTATCTTTTGTATGTCAATGTTGGTTAGACTGTTAATGATATATTGATAAATTTCTTGATATGTTTATAGTTATCTGAATTATTTGATACATTATTTACTGGTCTCTAAATAATCCTAAATAATGGATATGTTGAAATGGGGAATTGACATTTATATTATGTTACATGGACTCTTCAAAACACGTGAAGGATCTATGTCGGATACATGATTCTCAAACATGGTATGGAATTTGTATACTACACATTTAGTTGAGCATGCACCCAATAATTCAATTCTATCATGTTTTTGCTCAAAAAAGAGTGAAATGCCAATTTTGAACACTGTTACATAAAATAATATTTTACTCTAATTTTTTTTTTTTTTTGATAAGTAATATTTTACTCAAAAAATAAAGAAAGATATTAATAATATGAATACCCCGTGTCCTGTTTTGGAATTTGATACATCCGACTCTTGGGCACATACCCAAGTCTATATCTATATTTTGGTGTTCGCCGGAGGGGCTCCTAGATATGCTCTTTCTCAAATTTCATTGCTTGGTTGCAGAACCGATAAAGATATTTGGCTGATCCTTGCAGTTGAATATTAGGCGTTGTGGAGTCAATTAAATTGGTGTTGGTAATTTGGTTACTTTCTGGGTGACCTTTTCACCAACTGATCAAACTTTTGCAATAATCACTCTGACTTCTGTCATTGCAATAAAATCAAATTACAAAACGGGCCCTTTATCTTTCTCTAACTTCTCTTCTCCATCTGATCATACCTCCTCCTTCACCACCACCACCGCCACCGCCATCTCTCTCTAACGAGCCAACCATCTTACATACACTGTTAAATTTATGTATTTGGATATACACACACATATATTATACATGTTTTATATATACAAAGATCTGAGAACCAGAGCAAACTGTTGAGCGATATATAAGCATGTAATCACATTCACTAGCTGTGCAAAAGAGTGTGATCAATACGGCATTCCATAAATCGTGGCTATCATATATGCTAATATATACATAAATAAATCTCTGCTATTATAGTAAGTCATTCCATAAATCGTAGCTATCATATATGCTAACAATTATCCTGTTCGCGAGTCAATGAAGTTGTATTGTGACAACAAGGCTGCTATTAGCATTGCCGATAATCCAGTTCGATATGACAGGACAAAGCAAATTGAAGTCGATCTACACTTCATCAAGGAAAAGCTTCATCTGGCTGATTTGTACTCCATACGTCAACGCACATGATCAGGTTGCTGATATTTTGCAAGACTTGCTTGCAAAATATAGTCAAGTTGGGCATGATAGATATCTTTGCACTAGCTTGAGGGGAGGAGTGTTGTCGGGGGCTTATTTGTAATTACTTATATAATGTTGGGGCTTATATGTAATTTCTAAAACTTGTTATTATAAATAGAATGTGGTTGAAGGTTGAAAGGAATTCTTTCATTCTTTCTCTCTTTCCCCATCTCTCTCTCTCTCTCTCTCTCTCATCCGCTTTCTTCTCTTTTTCTTCTTTTTTATCACTTACTCTTGATTTGATTATATCTTAAAGTCGACAAATACTTGAGATCTATCTTTAAAAATATATACCCAAGTTAAACGTGAATAATCATCAATAAATGACGCAAAATAACGAGCACTAAATAAACCAGTAGTACGAGCTGGTCCCCAAACATTTGAATGTACTAACTCAAAAGGTTTTAAACTTTTATTATCAAAACGAGACTTAAAAGTAGCCCGATGTTTACTAAGTTCGCAAGTAGTACAATTAAACTTACAAAAATCAACTAGAGAAGGGACCAAGGCTAGAAGTCTATTTGAAGAGGGATGTCCTAGGTGGCAATGCCATTGGATAGTTGAAAAGGAGGTGGAATGTAGAGCTGTCGAAGTAGTAGTTGGCTAGAAGTAGTAAAGACCATCCTTCTCAAACCCCCCACCAATCGTTGTCTTCTTTTTGAGATCCTGAAAGACACAACGGGAAGGAGAAAAAGTAACTGAGCAATTTAAATCTGATATGATTTTGCGAACTAACAATAAATTGAATGAAAATTGAGGGATATATAAAATTGATGAAAAAGTGAGACCTGAAGTGCGGAAGGTACCAATTCTAGGAACAGGTGATTTGGCATCATTTGCTATAGTAATAACCGATGGTGAGAAAACATGAGATATATCAGAAAGAAGAGATGGGTTACCTATCATGTGATCGGATGCTCTTGAATCAATAATCCAAGGTGTAGAAGATGAAGCATGGAGACACGTATTACCTGAAGTAACGATAGTAGCGGTGGAGGAGGGTTGATTTGCACGCTTACGCTTTACCAAAGAATCATATTCGGCTTTGGAGAGAACAATTTGTTCATTCGCAGGAGTGGGAGTAGTCTCCTTCGAAACCGAAGCTTGATTAGCCCAAGCTGGCTTGCCATGAAGAGCCCAGTAGAAGTCAACATAGTGATTGTTTCGGCCACAATGCGTACACTTCTTGCTGCCGCGACCCCTTCTTCCCCCTCGTCCTCCACGAAAAGTATCATGTCACTCAGTAGGAATAACAAGAGTAGAGTGGTTGTCCTATCAATCACAGGGGATGAGTGGATGCTCTTCGAACTCGAGCAGAAGTCTCACTTGCTGTGGATATCTCTTTGCTAGACAAATTCTATGAACTGATTGGAGCGAGTTCGGGTTTAAGTCCAGATAAAAATTTTGCCACCCGAAACTCCTCCCTGTGCCATTTTGTTGTTCTATGTCTGTAGTCAATGGTTGGTAGACATTCAATTCTTCCCACATGCCTTTCAATTCTGAGTAATAATCCTCAACAGAACGATCTCCCTGCTGGAGATTAAAAATATCCTGACACTATTGATAAATACGAGAAATATTCTTCTCTGAAGAGTACATGTCCTTGAGATCTTCCCAAATATATTTGGCAGATTCTAGGAATAAAATGTTGTTGTAGATCTAAGTCTCCAAGCTGTTCCATAAACAAGTCATAATCTGATCTTCTTTCTCCCAAGCCTCAATCATCTTTTCATCACTGGTGGGTTTGGTTGATTTAAGATAGAACATTTTTCCTCGAGCACGTAAGAACACCTTTACGGCTTGAGACCATTGAAGGTAGTTCGAGCCTTTTAGTTTGGTGCTGGTGATTGACCCAAGAAGATGGGATTCCTTAGTGTGGAAATTCCAATATAATTAGTTAGCAGCTTTAGTTAGCAGATTTTGTTAGTTTCGAATAAAGATATGAAGATAATTAGTATCCAGATCTCCAAGATTTCTGTTAGTTAGTTTCCTATTTTACTTCCTAGAATCAAGGAGCTGGTGAACCTAATTGTGAAGGTTTCCTCTTCTATTTATTCTGGTAATTGACTTATTCCAAAGATAACAATAAGAAAAATATCAGAGAAGTTTTTTCTCCCATATATTTCTTTATGGTAACAGAGCAGCCTCTGAATCTCAAAAATTTCCATTGATGGTCAAGTATGGAATGGCCACTGATAAAAGCAGCACGTCTGATGCCTCTTCCAGCCCAGGACAAATATCTCAAGGCAGCCATGGCAGATTTGAAAGTCTCGCAGTGCCAATAACTGGGCACAAGCTGAACGGACATAATTACCTTCAATGGGCTCAATCGGTGATGATGTTCATATCAGGAAAAGGAAAAGACGGCTATCTCACCGGCGCTGCCATACCTCCTAAAAAGGAAGACCCAAAATTTTGAACTTGGAGATCAGAGAATAACATGATGATGTCGAGGTTGATTAATACCATGGACAATGAAACTGGGCAGAATTTCATGTTCTATGGAACTG